ACTATTTTTGCATAGACTAAAGTACAAAGCAGTGAAAATCATTAACAAGCAATCGTTCGATGGGCTAAATTGCACAGAACGCATGATCGCACCGGCTAGTCTGGTGCGCGTTGCCATTTATTTTCTTTTTTTGTCAAAATTTTTCTTTTTAACTCAATTTCCAACTTTTCGGCCATCTTCGGACAGATTTTATGTTTTTCAGACTAATTCTTATGTTACTAACTTGATTTTCGCACTTTTCTTTCCATGTAAGTGATCTTGGCAACTCTGATTCCTCACAGCAGGACGGAGCCTGCATCCTCTCCTCTCTCAAAGTGATTTATATTCAGTACGTTTGTTTAAAGCTCTTGCACAAAAAAATATATGGCGATTACCAGTGCGTGGATCATAAAATTCCACAGTTGACAGTGAATCGCCTGTATTGGTCAGACCACCAACGGCAAAGATTAATCCAGGCACATCAAAACAGCACCTCTGTTTCGTCCTACAAAATGCGCATCCAATATACTGGTAATTATAGATACGCTCTGCCCCCTCCCCAACCCCGTCATTAAAACACAATATCCTTCTCCGTCGCTCGATGGCCTGGTGTGTGCTTATAAAATCCCACCCGAATTTTCACGTGGCAAAAGAATCGATACTCTTGTTGAACTTGCTGTGGAAATGTCCAAAAAGGATTAGCTCAAAGTATTAATCGGCTCGCAAGTCTGTCCACCAGCTGGTCCAACACCTCTTCGTAGTATAGTGCATCATCGAAGAATAACGCAGCTCATATTTGATCCGCCTTGGGAAAACCAGAAAACACTATATTTTATCAGACTACTATCGGTATATAAATCTATTTCGGTCTGATTAGTGAATGCTAGAGGTAATGCGAGAATGCACTGTGTCTCCAGTGCTCCCAATTACTTGAAAACTTGCAAAATAATTTGAAAAATTTTAGTGCAATTTTCAAAAATGCTAGAAACCTGAACGTTTTGAAAGATTTTCTTCTCTCCGGCATAAGATGGTAGTCTTTTGCTTCATCGATCAAATCACGACAAGTGAGGCATTCGCGTATTATCGGATGAGAAGCCACATGATCAGTTATGAAATGCGGCTTCAGTAGTGGCATTCGAACACATTTCAGTACTCTGAAATTCCCTCCTAATTAGTGACTGAAGTAATAATGACAGCGTAATATATAAAACAATACCGGACACAACTCTGCCAAGTCCTTCAGTCCTAAGCTGTATTCCTCAAGTTAGTAATCATCGCCTGTTCGATGTATGTGCTTCGTCCAAGCAATTCTGCTTCTCTACAACGGTCATAAACGCTGGAAGAATGCATTTACGGTTCCGGAAGCAACAAGGTTTTAGGCATAAAGTGCTTGGTGCAAAGCTGCCACATGATTATCATCTGCACAATAGACATTTTGCAGATGATAATCTTGATAATCTGATGATAATCTGATAAATGTAAAAGAAAAATGAAAAAGTGCCCTGAGAGTCCTAAAAGGTAAAAGAACAAGCGAAACCTCGGTGAATATCGCGTTCTCTCGGAATCGTGTTGTAACCAGCGCATTGCCGCATCAAAAATCTGCTCCTCACTTTCGACAAAGAGTTCATCCCGACTGAGGATCGCCACAACATCCTCCACAGGCAAAGCCAAATATTCCTCGCCTTGTGCCACACAAAGAAAATGCTTGTGTAGGAATCGATCTGAACAGCAAAGGTATGAACAGCAATTCCTTTCATTTACGTTGTTCCGAAGCTTCATAAAAACCCCTGCGCATATAGATTCATAGCGGCGGCAAACAAATCATCCCTTCGAAGCCTCTCTATTACAATGCACCG